CTATAATTATATTTTATTAATTTTCATAAACATTTACAGAGATTTTGGGCTTCCACTCATTCATTGTTGCACTATTCTCTTTACCCTCCTCCCAGTTTGTTCTTGTCCAAATGCCATTATTATTAATTCTAATGAAAGTTTACAGAGACTGGATTTCCATTCATTCACTGTTGCACTTTTCTCCCTGCCCACCCGTCTCCTCCAGTTCACTCTTCTCTTTGAAAAGTAAAAGAAAAATTCTTTCATTGTTTTACAATCTCTCCCCACCCCAGGTCCACTCCACTATGCAGCCTTCCTTCGGGACTTCTGTCATGATAATAATACCTAATCATATATCACTTTTAAGCAGTTCTCTCTGCATTTGTTTCATTGCTGTATACATTATTTATCCTCTCTTAGTTCCCCCCAATGCCAATGTCAGTCCAGTTTTATGACATTGGCACTATGCAGTATTTCGCTCAGCATAATGTCCTCCAGGGTCACCCATTTTGTATAATATTGCATGAGTTCCTTGTTTTTCAGTGCAGCGTAGTATTCCATTATGTGAATATATCACAGCTTCTCTATCCATTCATTTGTTGATGGGCACTTGGGTTGTTTCCAACTCTTTGCTATTTGAACAAAGCCGTGATAAACATGGGTGTGCATTAGTATGGTCTCTTTTAGGAATTTGTGTTTTGTTCTATATTTTTCTCCCGTTTATCAAGAAATTTCTACCATGTCCATGATCAGAATAGCTGGTAGCCAGGCACCATCCAGCTTTTCTGGCTTGTGTGGGCTCTTAGTTCTTAGTTTCTTCTTTGGTCTTTTTGTTTCTTTCATCATCTTTAACTCCTAACAAAATAGTTGCATGTTAGAAGGTTCTGGCAAACTTGAAAATAACACTTCTTAAATTCAAATTATTTGATGACACGGAAAAATAATAGGCCTTTTAATGTGCTTTGGCATTTCACTTTTCATTATACACTATCTCAAATTATCAAACCATTTTTTTTGCTTGTCATACCCTTCTTAGCTGTATTTAATTTTCAGTAATACTGTTTCACCATAGATATATTTGAAATATTGACGCTTGTTTTCATAACCTGTATTTACTAACAGCCCTTGTGCCCTGAATTTGTCTGGCAGATGCACGCAATCCCGCTGCGGTCCTCTTGGGTGATGACCTGCGCATATGCCCCCTCTGGGAATTACGTTGCTTGTGGGGGACTGGACAACATCTGCTCTATCTACAACCTGAAAACCAGGGAGGGAAACGTGAGAGTGAGCCGGGAGCTGCCAGGACACACTGGTGAGCTCCCCAAATGTCACTGTGCCCACCAAAGAGATGCTCTTTCAGCATGGAATCAGCTGACCAAGGAGAATGAGAAGCACATTGTGTTTAGCTGGCTGATGGAGGAGTGCTCATTGGGTGCAAGGATGTCAGGAAAGCACTGACTTTTTAAAATCAGGAAAATGGCAACTGTTATTTTCTCTTTCAAAAAGAGTTGGATTGTTTCTTTAAAATAAATAAAGAATAAATTTCCTTAGGCCAGCAGAGATTAGTAGAAGTGTGGATGGGGTAAAGGAGGAATAGTGAAGATTTGAAGAGATGCTGTGATAAAAGGCATTGATCAATAGTAATTGATGTTACGGGACATAGTGTATACAAATGATTGATTGAATCCAGTTACTTTTTTGCAAGCCCATTTTACAGTCAAGAATCCAAACAATAATTAAAATATATTTAAAAAGGCAAATAATTGTTTTTTTTTATCTTTTGCCATGTAATTGTGGGATTTTAGCATCACCCTCCATTACAAAATTGAAGACTGTTTCAAGAATATGTTATTTATAGCCTGGGGATACAGGTTGTCTGTTAAGATTAACGGGAGAAAAATTGAATAGTGATAATATACTCATGAACTACATCATTAATGTCACTGAATTGAGCACAGAAAAGTGTTGAACTGGTAAATGGTTTGTCTATATTTTTTTTAGCACAGTGAAAAAACATAATGTATGGATGAAGTATTTATCCCCCTGTGCTAATAACGCATTTCCTGATTTTTCCAGTGTGCGTGCAGCAGGCCAAGAATGCAGTGTTGATTTAGTTAGAAATAAGTTTATTTAGTTAATAATTGTCATGTTATTTAGTTAATAGCTGTCATATAATTAGTTAATAATTGTAGTATAATTTCGTTAATAGAATAGTGTTGGTTCAGTGTTCATCATCTGGTTTCTGCTCCTGAATTCTTGGCAGTGCTACCTGACCACACCTTTACACAATCTCCAGAATGACTTTTTACTGCCATTCCCCTATTTGTGAACACCAGTAAATGCTGAGCATTTAGATGCTACTACCTTCCTGAAGCCTTTAGTGTTGCTGATTTTCCAATTTCTCACAATATTTCCTTGCACACTTTTCTAAGATGCTTAATGAATGCTCTAACTACATAGGGTTGCTGTGAGTCATACTCAACTCAATGATACCTAATAATAGCAACATAGATGATATATAGTTACTTGTGTAAATGAGTGTATCTCCCTCCTAGGCAATTGTCAGGGAGCACGGATAGTACATTGGTTAAGAACCTAAAGGTCTGGAATTCAAGCCCACCAGCTGGCTGCTCTACAGGAGAAAGATGTGGCAGTCTACTTGGATAACAGTGGCAGCCTTGGGAGCCCACTGGGGCAGTTCTGCTCTGTCCTGTAAAGTTACCATGGGTCAGAGTCGACTCAGTGACATTTTTTTTCTATAATTATATTTTATTAATTTTCATAAATATTTACAGAGATTTTGGGCTTCCATTCATTCATTGTTGCACTATTCTCTCTACTCTCCTCCCAGTTTGTTCTTGTCCAAATGCCACAGTGCTTGTCAAAGCCAGTTCTGATTAATCTTCTTTGTCAGTGTGTCCTTTGCCATTCCCTATCACTCCTCCCTGAGAGAGACTTCACCCTGAGTCATAAGGAAAAGGGGATGGCGTATTCTCTTAGCTACTTCCTGCTGAAAAGGGACGCTGGGGGTTTCAGGGTGAAGATCTTCTCTCAGACTCAGTGACATTTTAACAACAGGTTTTAGGTGGCAAGGGCAGTGAAGTATTCAGCTGTGTTAAGTTTTGAGGTTCCCAGAACAAATGTCATTTGCATAGAAAGTGCCTAAAATGGCTCTACTGAATAAAACTTAATTGCACGCAGGTTACAGTTTGAAGTAATTAAAGGATGTTGTTGTTGTTGTTGTTATGTGTCATCAAGTCACCTGCAATTCATAGCGACCCTGTGTACAACATCCCCACTCTATCCTGTGCCAATCTTATTGTCTCTGACACACCTATTCTCATTTCCCTAGTCACAGAATCAATCCATCTCATCAAGGGTCTTCCTCTTTTGTGCTGTCTCTCCACTCTCCCAACAATGACGTCCTTATCCAAGGACTCGTCCCACCCTGCAGCATGTCTAAAGTATGTCAGAATCCTTGCCTCCAAGGGAGAGCAGCCTGTTCTCACCCTTTATAGGACGAACCTGTTTGTTCTCCTAGCAGTCCATGGTATATACAGTACTCTTCTCCAGCACCACAGCTCAAAGGCATCAATTCTCCTTTCATTCCTAGTCATTGCCCAGCTTTCTGATGCATAGCAAGTAATTGCAAAGACTATGGCCTGGATCAGGCACACCTTTGTCTCCAGACTGTTGCCCTTCAGTACTTTGGAGAGGTCTCTGGTAGCCTGCTTTCCCAGTGCAATTCCTCTTTTAATTTCCTGGCTGCTGGTACCCAGATTAATGATTGTGAAGCCAAACAAACTAAAGCTGTCAATAATCTCAATCTCTTCACTATCCATACTGATGCTGCCAATTGGCCCAGTGGTGAGAATCTTTGTTTTCTTGATATTGAGCTTCAATCCGTATTGAAGGCTGCAGTCCTTAGCCTTCTGCAGCAAGTGCTTCAGATCCCTCTCAGTTTCAGCAAGCAGGGTTGTGTTATCTCTGTAACATAGATTGTTGATCATTCTTCCTTGAATCCTGATACCACATTCCTCCTCATAGAGCCCTGCCTCCTGGAAAAGCTATTCTGCATATTGATTGAACCATGGAAATACACTAACACAGAGATGTATTCTAGATATTATATTTTTTAAAATAAATTTTTTGTAGAAAATGTTAAAAAAATATCTCTTTACTGTTCATGTGGTAACCTAGTTCTGCAGCCAGTGATCTCCTCAATTTTGCTACTCTCTCTATGCCACAGGCTACTTATCCTGCTGCCGATTTCTGGATGACAGCCAGATCATAACCAGTTCTGGAGATACAACGTGGTAAGTTGATTGTAGAAGAACAGTCTCTTGGAGTTGGGTATGGCAGCAGGAGCCGACCTAAGAGGAGTAGCCATTACATGATTTTGCTTATTCACGTTTAATGATAGTGCTCTGTGGGACATCGAAACTGCCCAGCAGACCACCTCATTCACTGGGCATTCTGGAGACGTGATGAGCCTGTCTCTGAGTCCTGATGTGAAGACTTTCATTTCTGGTGCCTGTGATGCCTCTTCCAAACTGTGGGATATTCGAGATGGAATGTGTCGACAGTCTTTCACTGGACATGTGTCAGATATCAATGCCGTCACTGTAAGTGAATAGCATTTTTAAGGATAACTTATTATGCCTTTAAAATGTCGAACTGCATGGCATCATTTCTTAAACTTTTTGTTGTGACTTGGCTTAAAGTTTACAGAGTCGATTCGATTACTCACTGATTGGTTGGTACACATTTCCATTCAGGACATTGGTTGCAGTCCTCACAGTGTAACAGCACTGCCCTCTTTCTCCCTATGTTTGCTGTGTCCATCCATCCTTCTCCCCTATGCCTTCCTGTCTTCTGAGCTTTATCTTTGGGCAAATCAGCTGCTTCTTTTTTTTTTTTTTACTTTGAAGACTAAGGTGTGCCTGATTCAGGCCAAGGTCTTTGTTAATTATTATTATATTGGTTTGCTTACAAAGTTCATATCATGAGCTCTGGTGGCCTAGTGGCAAGAAGGTGCATTGAAATCGCAGAAGTACATGGTTTGAATCTACCAGATGCTCTGCTGAAGAAGGAGGGACAATCTCCTTCTGTACCAGTCAGATCCGATTTGATGGTACATACGCAAAAAAAATAATAAAATTTAAAAAAAACAAAGTTCGTATTATATTGTGTTTCACGCAAATCTGCCTTTTGATCTCATGTGGTTGTTCTAGGGAGCATATACACCCTACTGTGATTGTTCGCTTCATAGTCCTGTCTAGTGTTTGACTGAAAGTTGAACCCAGGCCAACACAAACTGCTTCCCAGGATTTTTAACAAACATTGTGCTGTTACAGTGTGAACCCCTAAACAGTAAATGTGTTCAGTTCAGGGAAAATGGGAAGATTTTAATCCAAAGGTTTAGTTTTACTTATAGGTCAACAATAAGTTGTATTTCCAAAATTAGAGGGCTAGATCAACTTGAATAAACAAGTATGTCATCATATGCTATCACATGCCAATGAGTCAGAATTGACCTATACTATCCTGTATGTACAGCACTGTATTTTCAATTTAGGGAAAAAACTGTATCTCTGGGACTAAAGAAAACAGCCCAAGTGAGAACAATCAGAAAGAAAAAGGCTGCTTTTTGATATATTTTGTAATTTCAGAAATCTATCTCCCCCCAAAACTTATTGTTACAGGGCCTTGTGTGATCTTTGCATACTGCTGTGGAGTGTTTGTTGCTGTGATATGTTTGTTATTCTTCTTTCTAGTTTTTTCCAAATGGCTATGCCTTCGCCACTGGCTCTGATGATGCCACTTGCCGGCTCTTTGACCTCCGTGCAGACCAAGAGCTACTGCTGTATTCTCATGACAGTATCATATGTGGGATCACTTCTGTGTCCTTCTCGAAAAGTGGGCGCCTCCTATTGGCTGGTTACGATGACTTCAACTGCAATGTGTGGGACACACTGAAAGGAGACCGTGCAGGTTAGTACGGGTTCGGAAACCCCTTGCACGTTCAGTTCTGTTCTGTACAGTTTTGTCAGCGACCTCGAAGGTTTCCATCACTTCATCCACCAGGCACTGTGGACATTGGCAGCATAAGTGGTGCTTGATCCCCTTATCCTTGCTGCCCTTCCACAACAGCCACAGCTCATAAAAACCATACGGACATTTATGTTTCTTGAAGAGTTACATCTACCCCTGTATTTGCTTGTTTGATGAGTGTCAGTACAAATATGAATCCTCAGCTCATTGTTGTCAAGACTTAACTGACCCAAGCAGGTTATAGGTGACCCTCTAGTGGGATTCGAGGCTATAACTTGCACAGGAGAAGAGCGCCCATTTCTCCCTTGGAATTGCTGGTGGACTTGAGCCACTAGAGAAACATGGCCATGAGTTTAGCAGCAAAGCTTCCTACGCCACCAGAGCTCCCTAAAGATGAGTAGTAAATATGATTCAGGGAGTCCTGGAGGCCTACTGGCAAAAAGCGATGCTGCAGTCCCGAAGGCACCAGCTCAATCCTGAGGCCACAAGCTGCTCCACAGGAGAAGGATGGGCAATCTCCTCCTGTGCAATTAACTGCCTCTGAAAACAGACCAGAGGGTCAGCTGTGGGTTGGTTCTAACTCGATGGTACAAAACAGCAGCAATTAACGGTCTTGAGGCATGCTCTTTCCAGAGATGACCTCGTATAGAGCAGGCCCTGGACTGTGGTCTTCCCTTACTCTCCAACACTGAACTTCCACCTACAGGGTCCATAATATACTTTGGATGGTCATTAATAAAAATCACTGTGTTATTTCTAAATGTAAAAAAAGAAAATTTCTACTTATGTGTAGTTTAAGGAATCACAGTTTTAAGACTGATTAAAAAGAGAGAGAGAGAGACCTCCAAGAGCCCATTGACTTCAACATATTTTTTTTTCCCAAAAGCAGCACCATTTGACTTTTTTGAAATTTACTTACCTATTTTTTAATAACAGACCTATATTACCACGACTTGTTGATTTATTGTTTTAATGTTTTGGGTTATTTGTTAGCAGCTGAGATGCTCTCCTGGCACAGTGATTAAAGCATGGGGAGACTAACAGAAAGGTTCGGGGTTCCAACCCACCAGTGGCACTGTGGGAAAAATAATGTGGCATTCTGGTTCTCTAAAGGTTTGTAGCTTTGTGGAAACCTGAAGTGGCACCTCTGCTCTGTCCCATAGAAGCAGCTCTCATTGGGTCACTGATTTCTAGGAAATGAGGACTTAACTGTAACTTCTCAGCTCCAAACCACAGCCACATCCTTCACTTCTACCATTTCCCTCTGCCCCTCTATATAACTGTATTATTTTGTTTAGAACAACACTCACAATTTCTATTAGAAGTATTTTTAATGTGCCATAAGGTATACACTTGGATTTCTTTCATGAATTGTTTTGGTTTGGGGGATTTTTTCCCCCTCGTCTGGAGGTAAATGCTCACTAAGTTGTGTCGAGAAATCTGGAGAACAACCACTTGGCCAACTGACTGGAAGAGATCTATATTTGTTCCCATTCGAAAGAAAGGTGACCTAACAGAGTCTGGAAACTATAGAACAATATTGTTGATTTCACATACAAGCAAGATTCTGCTGAAGATTATCCATAAACGACTGGAACAGCACATCAGCAGAGAACTGCCAGAAGTTCAGGTTGGGTTTAGAAGGGATTGTGGTACTAGAGATATTGTAGCTAATGTTAGATAGATCTTGGTTGAAAGCACAGAGTACCAGAGGAATGTCTATCTGTGCTTCATTGATTATGCAAAGGCATTTGACTGTGTGGATCATAACAAACTGTGGCTGACTCTGAGAAGAATGGGAATCCCAGAACACTTGATCGTTCTAATGCGAAACCTATACTTGAACCAAGAGGCAGTCATCAGAGCAAGAAAACACTGCATGGTTCAGAATTGGGAAGGGCATACACCAGGGATGTGTCCTGTCTCCACACCTTGTCAACCTATATGCAGAACAGATTATATGGGAGGCTGGGCTCTATGAGGAGAAATGTGGGATCAAGATTGGTGGACGATCTATCAACAATCTGCCTTATGCAGATGACACAACCCTGCTTGCTGAAACTGAGAAGGACCTGAAGCACTTGCTGCAGAGGGTCAAGGACTGCAGCCTTCAATATGGATTGAGGCTCAATGTCAAGAAGACAAAGATTCTCACCACTGGACCAATTGGCAGCATCAGGATGGATGGTGAAGAGATTGAGATTGTTCACAGCTTTAGTCTGCTTGGCTCCACAATCAACACACTCTTGGCACCAGCAGCGAAGAAATTAAAAGACGCATTGCGATGGAAAAGTCTGCTGTTAGGGACCTCTTTAAAGTACTCAAGAGTAGCAATGTCGTTCTGGAGACTAAAGTGAGTCTGATATAGGCCATGGTCTTTGCAATCACTTGTTATGCGTCAGAGAGTTGGACAGTGACTAAGGAGGATAGAGGGAGAATTGATGCCTTTGAGCTTTGTTGTTGGAGAAGAGTACTGAGGGTACCATGAACTGTTAGGAAAACAAGCAGATTCATCCTGGAAAGGGTTAAACCGGACTGCTCCTTGGAGGCAAGGATTCTGAGGCTTCGTCTGACATACTTTGGACATGTTGTAAGGAGAGACCGGTCCTTGGAGACCGTCATGCTTGGGAGGGTGGAGGGCAGGTGCAGGAGGGGAAGGCCCTCTAGGAGGTGGATTGATTCGGTGACTGGGGTAATCAGGATGAGTGTGTTGGAGACAGTGAGATTGGCACAGGACAGGAGTTTAGGGCTCTTATACATAGGGTCGCTATAAGTTGCAAGCAACTCCACGGCACATAACAACAACAATATACTTTTGATTGATTCAACTTGATGTATTCTAATTACAATAATATTGATTATGCTGAGTGTTCAGAAGGCTTTTCCAATCTGTAAACTCATACCTTGCAATATTGTTGTTGATATGTGCCATCAAGTCACCTGCGACTCATAGCAACCCTATGTACAATGGCTATAAACCCTGCTCTATCCTGTGCCAATCTCACTGTCTCTGACACACCCACACCCATTACCCCAGTCACTAAATCAATCCACTTCACCAGGGTCTTCCTCTCTTGCGCTGTCCCTCTGCCCTCCCAAGCATGACATCCTTCTCCAAGCAACATGTCCAAAGTATGTCAGATGAAGCTTCAGAATCATTGCCTCCAAGGAGCAGCTGGGCTTCACCCTCTCCAAGATGAACTTGTTTGTTCTCCTAGCAGTCCATGGAATATTCAGTAATCTTCTCCAGCACCACAGCTCAAAGGCATCAATTCTTCTTTTATCATCTCTAGTCATTGTCCATCTTTCCAGTACATAGCAAGTAATAGCAAAGACAATGGCCTGTATCAGGCACACCTTAGTCTCCAGACTGACATTGCTAGTCTTCAGCATTTTGGAGAGGTCTCTGACAGCTGATACCAAGAATGTTAATTGTAGAGCCAAACAAACTGAAGCTGTTAACAATATCGATCTCTTCACCATCTATTATGATGTACCTTTCTTTGCTATAGCTCCCTTTCTGGGACTCCTGGTGTATTTTCCTCTTTTCTCCATCTGTTTTCCTCCCCTTCTGTCCCCTACTGCACATTCTGGAGGAAAAACCTTCCCTTTCCCCCCCCCACCCCAAATCCTTCTGTTAAATTTGGGATTTTTATTTTTATGTCTTTGGTGGCTTCTTTTTCCTAATGGCATCCAGTGGTTTCTCAAGAAGGCAGGGGTTTTTTGTTTCTCTGAGGTTACTGATGTTAATTGCTTTAAACTTCTTTTCCCTCATCGCCCTATTGTGTTTTCCCAAGTTACTCCCACCCCACCCCCTGACCATTTGCTTACTTGGTCCCTGGTCTTTATTTGTGGAGTATTAAAAATAAATACATACATACATACATACATACATACATACATACATACATACATACATACATAAAAAAGTCTATCAGTGGCGAAAACTTTCTGAGGCACAGGATTGGGGTGTCTTTACTCCAGGCCTCAGGCTGGGGAAGCCCTGGTGAATTGAAAGTCCTTTTCCCCCCCTGGGCTATGGCTATTCATATTCCCCTGAATATTGTCACTGGCTGATGGAGTTGGGGGCTGATTTTAGGAGCTAAGTCGGAGTGAGGGTGGGAAGTACAATAGTTAGTAAGTATTCTTTATTCTCTGTTTCAGCACAGTTTTTCCAATTTCAACCATGCCCATTTTCGCTTAGTCAACTCAAAATGTCATTTGTTTTTTCCAGTCAGAACCAACTCATAGCAGCCCCTCCAGCGGGTTTTCCAAAATATTAAATCACCTGAGAGGAGATTGTTCCTCTTTCTTTTTTCACAGGAGAGCTGATGGATTTGAACCATGTGCCTTTGGGTTGGCAGCACAACTCATCCACCAGACCACCAGAACTCCCTCCCCGTAGCCAAGACCTTTGTTTTCCTTATTCCTGAAAATCTCTAGTCTTAAGTCACAGTGCAGGATAACCTGATCCTAAGCACTTTCTAATGCACCCTGGTTCCACTAGCATGTGACCCTTTGGGAGAGTTCTGCTGGACAGTTGGTTTCTTGGCTTGCTTGCTAGGTGGCCATTCAGTCACTACCATTAAGCTCTTAAGGTTTTGTTGTTGCCACCTGTCCTCACACTTTCACTGCCTCTGTGGGTCCCTGCTCCCTCAGGTCCCTGTGCAGCGGTTGGATTTCTGAGGGAGTAGAGGCAGTATCTGTTCTCAGCATTATTTTCCACAGCCTTTCTTCAGAGACCACGGAAAATGTCAGATTTGTACAAGTTGCTATTTGGACTTAGTATTCCACTGCCTAAAGCCAGTTACTTCTTTTTTTTTTTTTTTTAAGATATTGGGCATTTTTCCTGGATTCAGTCAATTAGTATCTGTTTAAAAATGAAAACATGTTTGCCTTCCACATTTTAAACATGTGCTTGTGTTTCAGTTTTTCTTTGCTTACGGCTATATTTCAAGTTGACACAACTAGAAACTTTCACTTCCTAGTTGAATTCTGATTGGTGAATTGCTAATTCATTCTTCTCTTCACTGACACTTGGGAGATTTAACCACAATACTCAGTTTTGATTTTTTAAAATATTTTTATTGGCTTTCAAATAATAATTCCTTTACATTTGTGTTTCGTACAATCATTCATATATACATTGTATTTTATATAATTAGTTCTGTTGATCTTTGCATATTCTTACCCTGTCTTTTCGACTCCCCACTAAATCTTTTTATTCATTCACCACCACCCCTCAATCTGTCCACTAAATTCCATCATCCTAGAAATTCACACCTTTCCTCTTTTTCTGCCTCTTTCCCTTTCTCCTTTTGTACATTTGTACACATCTTTCTAGTTATCCATGTATTTCCATAATAGTTTTATGCAGTATTTGTCCTTCTAAACTGAGTTAGTTCACTCAACATAATGCTCTCCAGTCTCTTCCAGGTTATGTAATATTTTATAAAATCATTATTCCTTACTGCAAAGTAGTATTCCACTGGATGAATGTACCACAGTTTCTCAATCCATTAGTTTATTGATTGACATTTGGGCTGTGGCCATATTCTTGCTGTTGTGTATAATGCTGCTTTGAACAGTAAGTGTACACAATATTCAGTTTTTGTCATTTCAACCTGTGTTTGAACATTTTCTCATTGCAAAAAAATATCATCCTAAAGCTATCAGAGAAGCTATTATGCTTTTCTGTTTCTGAGTCTAAAGGAACATTATTTGCTTAATTATATAGCAATAACTCTTAAACACAATATTGTGAAGAAAAAGTTCTTGATAATTTGATAGATCTTATTTTATACTCTTGTTACCTGGAGTCTCTGAGTCAAAACTGACAAGACCTAAAAGCAATAACTTTGAAAATTTTTTACATTTCTCAATTTCCTCCCAGATATTTGAGATTATCTCTTTTTATCTTTGTGATAGATGGCAAAGAAATTTAACTTAAATGTACAAACTAAGACGGCCTGTGTTGAACAGTTAAAGAGAGTTGACCCCCTTCCCTAGTAGTGATTTCTCTCACCCCATCACTTATTGTCAGCCGAAGCGAATAAACAATGCTGGTATGTTGGGCCATGGTGATATACACCAGACAGGTTCATTCTTTTTATGGTTCATTTGATAAAAGACTCTCCTTCCCTGAATATAATGAAGATTTGGATGTGCTTTGTTTTCGACAAGATGGCATAGCTCAGCCGCAGAATTTGGACAATGATCCAGGTGAGTTTATTGGAGATGTCCATAGGGCCGCTTTGCTGCTATCCCAAAGCCATCACCTCTCTAGCAACTCGAATCCACCTGCACCTCCTCAGGTGAAAGATATGACATCACCTTCCTGCACTTTACAGCACTTTGGGAACCCAGCAGAGTGTCAGCTGTGAGCTATTCCTCCTCCATGACAATGAGAGGCAGAATAGAGATGTGCAGTAGAAGTCTGCATGTTTTCCCCCGTGTAAGAAAAGCTTAAAAATGACTTCAGAAATTAAAAAAGATAAATTGCTTTGCATCTTTAAAATGTGAAGTGCTGAAGCTCTGGTGGCCTAGTGGCAAGAAGCTGCACTGCAATCCCAGAGGTACATAGTTCAAATCCACCAGATACTCTGCTGGAGGAGGGGCAATCTCCTCCTGTACCAGACAAATCCAATTTGTCGGTACATACACACAAAAACTATAATAAAATTTAAAATAAAAAAGTGAAGTGTTTTAAATATGTACTCCGCTTTCTCTTGATCCTTCAATTACCCCCACCCTCCCCAGAAAAGCTTGTTAGTCTTGAAGTGCTGTTTTAGAGTTCTAGATATCTTGTAATTATTTACTTCAAACCCTTTTTGTTTTCAGGCATTCTTGCTGGTCATGACAACCGTGTCAGCTGCTTGGGAGTGACCGATGATGGCATGGCTGTGGCAACAGGCTCTTGGGACAGTTTCCTTCGGGTCTGGAATTAAAAGTGTTGTACATATTTTCTGTTCTCCATTGCTACCTGGAGAAATCAGTGCTACAGCCCCTAGCTGTGGAAAAAAAGGTCTAACTAGTATTTGTTGGTGAAGGTTTTTCTCTTGAAATTGCTGTATACAAGAAGGAGCTTTTCAGTAAACTATAAAACACACACGATATACACAGATACACACATACATACAAATTTACAAACAGACACATAAACACACATATACAAGGCAAAGGTGCTTGATAAGATAAAAAGGACCAGTGTATTACTTTGAAGAGTTTGGTTAATTTAACCTTGAATTTTTGCTTTGTGCTCAACGTCTAATTCTTCATGTTGTGGAGCATATATTGTACACATTACTGTAGCCTATATCATATTTGATACATGTATTTGCATTTTTTAAGAATAGCTTTGGTAAGTTTGTACATGCCAGAAATGAATTTTTTTTTTAGTTTTCTAGTGAAGAGAGCCAGGCATAGTACTAGAAGGAAGTGAGGCCATACGTTTATAATGTCGTTTGAAGACTGTCGCCTTGAATTCTGCCCATCCTTCTTTACTCTGAAAGAGATCCTGATTGCACAGTGTTTAAGATTGCTGATGGCCCAGGTGCCGCACGTCCCTGCCATTGTCATTAGTTGCTGGCACCTCCTCAGCTGCTCTGTCAGCCTCTGTAAGTGCTCATGCTCAATCTTTTAAGAGGGCAGATAATCTGAATGCCAGCGCCTGGAGATTTCTCCCTGCCATTTAGAATTACATCAGCAACTTCAACTATAATCCATTGTATTATTGGAAAGTAGATAGCCATAACAGCATAAAAGTGGTATTTTGGCATTTTTAAAGGTTAATTATGATCAAATGACATTTAAATAGGTCTCTCTATAGTCAATTGGGCTTGCTCTCTTGCTTTCATAGTCTAGAACTGAATTAGTAGAATATTCATTTTTCACAACTTTGATAAGTGTTTTGATTGTTTCTGTACCTGATGAGTCTTTCCTGGTGTTCTGTATCTGCGTATACGAGGTGGAGTATGACAGTGTTATGTTTCTGAGAAAAGTGTTCAATTTAATCAATCACTAGCTGTAATTTGTTGTGTGAATTCCATATTTGCATAATATAAAGTCTAAATTGATGTAACCTGTTTGTGCGTTCAGTTTTCTTAAAACGAAACAGTTAACGATTTTTCTTTCTTCCCTTCACACAAACGAATCATTTATAAGTGGTTTGCCTCAGAGAACACCTAATTCTCAGTTATCACACTTTCAAGGTGAAAGAAAAACTCTAAAAACAATTCTTAAAGGAGTCACAGAAATATACTAAGTCCTTTCTTTATCATTGGTCTGAAGTATCTGTTACTGGGGGGTAAATTAGTTTCCTTGAATTTTCTCTCCCAAATAAATCTAAATGATAGTAAACAGGAGATTGTTTGTCTGGGTGATGAAAATGTAAAGTCATGGCTTAAAAATCAAACTAAGTGTAAGCGAGTTTAAGTTCTTATCGAGATATGTCACTGCTCAGTTTTGATCACCTCTAACCCAGTTATTCCAACTGTTACCTGCAAAATTTCATTTTTGCATTTTGCATGTGCTAATTAGTGAATCAACTAATGATGCATCACTTCTCTTGATGAAAGGCACCTTTTAATAGAAAATAAAGTAGATAAAAGCAGGTTAAGATGGAGGACCAAAACAAAGGAGTGTAGATGGCAGGCATGAATGTATATTTATAGTCTTGTTAGATATCTGTCGAGTTTGTTATTAATGTTATTGGGGCCTACTTCTGTCTTTTCATGAAGAGCAGCTCTTTGAGACAAGGCAACATTTGGAAGGAACTTTCATTAAAATGGAGAAGGAAAAAGGAGTTTGCCGTGTAGTTCAGTGTATCAATCAAAAACCTTTGTCAGAGAAAGCACTCCCACTTTGAGTGCTTCTGACCTAGTATCATCTCCATTATGAGTGCTTTTCTAGTAACCGTACACGCACTACAATATTATTAGTTTGTCTAGAGGAGCATTTAAATAATTTCTCTTCATTGACTATGTCCTAGACAAATAAAAACCACTTTTGAACACTTGTGGCTAATTCTACATATGGCAAAATGGTGGCAACATAATTTCACTATATTTTAGCTGTCTAATGCTGCTATAAAAGAAATACCACAAGTGGGTAACAAATGGAATTTGTTTTCTCACCATTTAAGAGGCTAGAAGCCTGAATTCAGTTTGCTGGCTCAAGGGAAGACATTTTTCTTTGTTACCTCTGGAGAGAGACCCTTCTCTCTTGAGCTGTTTGCTGATCCTTTGGAGATCCATGGGCCTTGGCATCATCATGCTGCCCCTATGTGCTGCTTTTGTTTGCTTGCTTAATCTCTTGATCTCAAAAATGGATTTAGTTTTGCTATTCAGACTGAGGTGAGATATCTCATAGTTGTCTTGATTTGCAGCTCTTTTAGATCTAGGGATTTTGAACATTTCTTCATGTACTTGTTAGCCATCTGAATGTCTTCGGTGAAATGTCTTCATATCCTGTGCCCATTTTTCTATTGGATTATTTACCTTTATCTTGTTGTGGTGCTCAAGTATTTTATAAATTCTGCATATAAGTCCCTTATCTGATATGTTATTACCGAATACTTTTTCCCAGTCTGTGGCTTCCCTTTTTACCCTGTTGGAGAAGTTTTTGGATGTGCATAGGGATTTGATTCTGAGAAGATCCCATTCACCTATTTTATCTTCTCCTGGTTGTAGGTTTTTCAGGATACTTGGAAGACTGTTTATGTTGTCGATTAGGACTTACAGCGTTATTCCAAGCTTTTCTTTAATGAAGTTTATAGTCCTTGGTCTTAGTCCTATGTCCATGACCCACCTTGAGTGGGTTTTTGTATATGGAGTGAGGTATGGATCTTGCTTGAGTCTTTTGCAAATACTTTTCCAATTTTGCCAACACCATTTGTTAAAAAGTCTGTCGTTTCCCTACTTTACTGATACAGCAAGCAACAAATGCTGGCGAGGTTGTGGAGAAACTAGAACCCTTATTCACCTTTGGTTGGGAGTGTAAAATGGTGCAACCACTGTGGAAGGCAGTATGGTGCTTTCTCAAAAAGTTGCAAATAGAGATACCATTTGACCCAGGAATTCCAATACTGGGAATATATCACAAAGAGACCATAACTGACACCCAAGCAGATACGTGCACACCCATGTTTATCGCAGCTTTGTTCACAGTAGCAAGGAGTTGGAAACAACCTAAGTGCCCATCAACAAACGAATGGATAGAGAAGCTGTGGTATATTCACACAATGGGATACTATGCTACATTGAAAAACAAGGAACTCACGCAATACTATTCAAAATGGGTGACTCTGGAGGACATTATGCTGCGTGAAGTATCTCTATCACAAAAGGACAAATACTGCATGGTGCCACTGTTGTAAAACAGGACTGACATCGGGGTTGGGGGGAGACTGAGAAAGATGGGTTCAATAATGTATACAGCATTGAAACAGATGGAGAGAACTGTTTAAAAGGGATATGTGATTAGGTATTTTTGTCATGACAGGTGACCAGAGCTAAGGCTGCATAGTGGAGTGGACCTGGGGGGAGTGTTTGTAAAACAATGAAAGAATTTTACTTTTCCAAGAGGGTAGTGCACTGGGGGGGAGGGTTGGGAGGGGAGAAAAGTGCAACAATGAATGAATGGAAATCCAAAGTCTCTGTAAATTTTCATTAAAATTAATAATAAATTTTTTTAAACAACTAAAAAATATATGACTGTTAATAAAGATTTCCATCTTTGGGAAAAAATTGATTTAAGGAATATTGCTGCATTTATATAAACACCAACTCATTCACAAGTGATATTATAACCAAAGGTGTAGAAGTTAAGGATATACAACATATTTTTGTGGAGCACAATTTATCCCATAAAATTAGCATCCTTTGCATCCCCCAAAACTCCCTGCCATGTCCAAACCACATTCACCCCATCACATCATGCCCCCATTCTTAGCTCCCCGTCCAAGATCATATCCTTGGAATCCACTAAATTTGAGTGAGATAGTAAGCATATTCCATCCTGGGATAAAACTACTTTTCATCTGAGAACCTGTGAAATCTGTAACACAAATTAACTTTTTCTAAAATATGGTGAGAGGAGCCACGGTGGCCCAGGGAGCAGGGGATTGAACTGTCAACCCAAAGGCATGAAGTTTGAATCCACCAGCTGCTTTTTAGGAGATAGATCCCTGTGTTACCACCTCAGAAACTCACTGGCGGGTCAGCTAGGAGTCATCTCCAACACAAGTCAATGAGTTGCATTGAGTTGAAAATACAATGGTACAATTTCATTAAAATTGGAAGACCTTGGAGAGAAGGCTTAGAAGGGACCAAGCAAGTCCTAATCCAGCAGAACAAATTACATTAGGTCTCGAAATCTGAAAATAGCTCTCTGTTCTCTGAGGTCATCTAGGCCATCCTCCTCTGGCCCTTGGGTTCTGGGCTGCCAGGCTCCATCTGCCTGGGTTTGGACGCCTTATTCCCAGGCACACTTGAATTGCAGTCCCACCCTCCAGACACCATGAAGGTTCTGCTTGATATTCTTCTTCCAGTGGTTCTGCTAATCTAGCTGCTCCAAGGAGGTCCCAGCCTATTTTTGGAGGACAACAGGGGTAGTTCCTTTGGCCTGTTTTCTGCCTGGAGAAAGAGACAGCCAGCATTTCCACCCACCTTGGGTTTTTTCTCTCTACCCTTCAGTCTGAACTGTTGCTTTTTCTGCTAGAGTCATTAGATCTCGTGTAAAAACTAAGGTTTTTACACCAAGCCACTATGCTTGTGAAAGTTGGACCGTGAGTAAGGAAGATGGAAGGAAATGGATCGCTTTGAAGTGTGCTGTTGTGAAGAATTTTGAACATGGCACAGACTGTCCTGGATGAAGTGCAGCTGGGGCGCTCCTTACTAGCAAGGACGGTGAGACTTTGCCTCATTCTTTGGGTATGTTTTCAGGAAGAGCCAACCCTGGCAAAGGACATCATGCATGGAAAGGTAGAGGGTCAGAGAAGGAGGGAAGACCTTCCTCCAGACAGACTGATGGTGCCTGGGGCAGGCTTTGAGCACAGTGGGATTGTGAGGATGGTGCAGGGATGGGAAGCGTTTGGATATT